TGCTGCGGGGGGGTTTTTTGGGTGAGTGGCCTCTGGAGCGAGCCCTCTGAGTGCCCCCAGAACAAGGAGCGTGGGGCCAGCAGTGCTGGCCCATGGGCTCTCTCCCTCCACTGCAGCTGAAGCGCTTGGCAGCCAGGCTGAAGGGATCTTTGGGGAAAGGATGGGACTGGGTGTGCCCAGCAGCCCTTGGAGTGCTCCTTTCCCTTGCTCCTGGCTTCGCTTCGAGCTGGGCTGGCATCTGCTTCTGGTCACTGGCTCTGTTAGCTCAGGCAGGTGTCTGCCGGCATGGGAGCATCCCACCACGCTTCGTCCCACCTCTGTAAGCCAGAGGGACAGAGAGTGCCGCGCCTGGGCTGCGTGGGCTGCAGTGCCTGCGATGCTGCAGATGTGCCCCGTCAGCGCCAAGCCCGATTTCAGCACGGATCTTGGCCAGGAGGGCAAGGAGAGGTGCCCGCTCAGTGCCCGGCTGGTCTCATTGCAGCGGTGTGCCGGTACCCCCTGGGAATGTCGGGCGGGCACATCCCCGATGAGGACATCTCAGCCTCCAGCCACTGGTCTGAGTCCACAGCCGCCAAGTACGGACGGGGAGTGTGGAGCCCCTGCTGTGACAGCCATGGCAGGGTCTAGGCTGGCAAGAGGGGCAGAAGGAGGTTGCGGGGAAGGCTTTTGGCTACCTGCAAACAGCTCCTCCGCTCTGGGTTTGCAGGCTGGACTCGGAGGATGGTGATGGTGCTTGGTGTCCCGAGATCCCAGTAGAGCCTGATGACCTGAAGGAGTTCCTGCAGATCGACCTGCGCGCTCTGCACTTCATCACACTGGTGGGCACCCAGGGACGCCACGCCGGGGGCCATGGTAATGAGTTTGCCCCCATGTATAAGATCAACTACAGCCGGGATGGCACCCGCTGGATCTCCTGGAGGAACCGGCATGGGAAGCAGGTGAGAAGGCGGGTGGGGGCTGCAGTGAGGGGGGGATGCACCTGCCCGTCCCCACCACATTTATCTCTCCCCAGGTGCTGGATGGAAACACCAACCCCTATGACATCGTCCTCAAGGACTTGGAGCCACCCCTCATTGCCCGCTTTGTCCGCTTCATCCCTGTCACTGACCACTCCATGAACGTCTGCCTGCGTGTGGAGCTGTACGGCTGTGTCTGGTTGGGTGGGTGCTGCCATCCTGTGCCCGTCCTCCTGTCCCCAGAGCCTGGGGGAGAAGGGGTGCTGTCCATCCCACTCGGGGCTGGCAATGCTGGGGGCTGGCTGGGGCAGGGTGTCTGGTGTGGGTGGCTGCTCACCTTCCCCTCCCAACAGATGGTCTGGTGTCCTACAACGCGCCAGCTGGACAGCAGCTCATCCTTCCTGGAGGCACCATCATCTACCTGAACGACTCGGTGTATGATGGGGCGTTTGGGTACAGGTGAGGACCAGGCGGGCAGCAGGAGGAGAGGGGGATGCTTCTTCCCTGCGTTTGCAGGCTGATGTGCTGATCCTCAGCGGAGCAAATACTTGGGGTCTCCCTGGAGCAGGGGACATGGCCAGTTCTGGGAGGTTGCACACTGTGATGAGGACAGCACCCCCAGCCCTTCTCTTGTATTTACACTAGCTTCACGTTCAGCATCCTGTAGAGAGGATATCAGGAAGGACAAAACCTGAATTTCCACAGGGCTGCAGGAAGCTGTCGGGGGGTGGTGTGGGATGCTCCCAATTTTGTGGGGTTGGCGAGAGTCACGCTCCCTTTCCCCCCTCACACATGCCAGCATGACAGAGGGCCTGGGCCAGCTGACAGATGGGGTGTCGGGGCTGGACGACTTCACGCAGACCCACGAGTACCACGTGTGGCCGGGCTATGACTACGTCGGCTGGCGCAACGAGAGCACCGCTGGCGGCTACGTGGAGATCACCTTCGAGTTCGACCGCATCAGGAACTTCACCGCCATGAAGGTCCGCACGCCCCTCCGCCCTGTCCCCTGTCCCCATCCCCTGCCACGGCTGTGCTGATGGTCCACCCCACAGGTCCACTGCAACAACATGTTCGCCAAAGGGGTGAAGATCTTCAAGGAGGTGCAGTGCTACTTCCGCTCCGATGCCAGCGAGTGGGAGCCCAGCGCCATCTCCTCGGTGCTGGTGCTGGACGACGTGAACCCCAGTGCCCGCTTTGTCACCGTGCCTCTGTTCCACCGCATGGCCAGTGCCATCAAGTGCCAGTACTACTTCGCTGACTCCTGGATGATGTTCAGCGAGATCACCTTCCAGTCAGGTACCCACCGCTGCAAGCCCCGTGAGGACTGGACACTCCTTGGGGGAAGGTTTGGGGAAGGAGTGGGCCTGTGGGGCACCCGCGCCCCTCACCTTGATGCTTTCCTCTTCTCCTTTGCCAGACGCAGCCATGTACAACAACTCAATGCCCCCACCTGAGGTACCCATGATCCCCACCACTTACGGTAAGGCATTGCAAAACACGACACCCTGAGCTGGGTGAGATGCTCCTGGGGGCTCTGCCCCATCTGATGCAGAAAAAGGGCAGGGGCTCTCCTTGATCAGCTCTTGCCATTCCCCTCTCTTGCCAGATCCCACGCTCAAGGTGGACGACAGCAACACACGCATCCTGATCGGGTGCCTGGTGGCGATCATCTTCATCCTGGTGGCCATCATTGTCATCATACTGTGGCGGCAGTTCTGGCAGAAGATGCTGGAGAAGGTGGGCAAGCACAGGCCGGCTGGCAAGGTGCCCCTGGGCTCATCCTGAATAAGTTCTTCTGGGAACTCAGTGTGGGGAAAGCAGACTCCATGCAGGGGCTGATGCTCCCTTCCCCTCCTCAGGAAGGTTGTGATTTGCACTCATCTCCCAAGCAAGGAGATTCAGTTGGGCAGGGTGGTGACTTCGGCACCCGCCTGCTTGTCTATCACTCTGTCCTGAAGCTGGGCTGGGGAAAAGGAACCCGAGGGGCTCTCACTGCATGAGAGCCAACCGAAGGCAGTCATAGAGGTGATGGAGCCAGACTCTTCTCCATAGAGGCAGCTAACAGAAGCAGGGGGACATGAGGACAAATGTCATTCCCGGGCAGGTGCTGCAGCCCTGGATCTGGGCACCAGAGGGTTGGGCATGGCCACAGTGCTATGGAGCACAGGACATTCTGTCCCACCAGTGCTGCAAGGACTCCCTGTCCCAGCTCTCTCCTCCCTTGCCACCCTCTCACAGGCGTCACGGAGGATGCTGGATGATGAGATGACGGTCAGCCTCTCCCTGCCCAGCGAATCCAGCATGTTCAACCACAACCGCTCCTCCTCCTCCAGCGAGCAGGAGTCCAGCTCCACCTATGACCGCATATTCCCCCTGGGTCCTGACTACCAGGAGCCCTCCCGCCTGATCCGCAAGCTGCCCGAGTTCACCCCAGGGGAGGAGGACACGGGTGAGAGCCTGGGACACCCTGCGTGCTTAGGACCATCTGCCATGCATGGACCCTGCTGCAGGCTCCTCTTCCTAGCCCCAGCTTTTGGGCAATCTTCAAACGTTTGGGCACAGAGGGGCAGGGGGGAGGTCGTACAAACTCCCATACATCCCGCTGAGAGGTCAGAAAAAGCTTGTGGCTGAGAGCCATCCCCAGTGTCCACCACTAGGCTGAGCTGTGTCCCTGGGATGCTCTAGTGATCCGGAGGTCGGGCACTGGTCCCTGCTCAGCTGGTGCTTGGGGCCGGGTTGGTGCGTTTGCTGGCGATGGGGAGGAAGCAGAGCAGCCTGAGATGTTTGCAGGAGCCCAGCCGTGCTGGAGCAGCGTGGGGGCTCCATGGAGGACGGGGGACGGAGAAGCCGGTGGCTGAAGTGTGAGCGGGCACCAGGGAGCAGAGGATGCAGGGCAGGACACCCACAGCAGGACTGTCCCTGCTGTACCTCCCCCAGGCTGCAGCGGCCCCGTGAAGCCGTCCCAGGCCAGCGTACCCGAGGGCGTCCCCCACTACGCCGAAGCCGACATCGTGAACCTGCAGGGCGTGACGGGCGGCAACACCTACTCGGTGCCGGCCCTCACCATGGACCTGCTCTCTGGCAAGGATGTGGCTGTCGAGGAGTTCCCAAGGAAGCTGCTGACCTTCAAGGAGAAGCTAGGGGAAGGCCAGTTTGGGGAGGTGAGTGGGAGCTGAACCTGCTCTGAGCATGACTTGGCCAAGCCCCTTCCCCATTTGGCTGTGGCAGGGGAGGCTGTCAGCCAGGGGAGGTAATGGCTACGCCTTGCCCCTCGACAGGTTCATCTCTGTGAAGTGGAGGGGATGGAGAAGTTCACAGGCAAGGACTTTGCCCTGGAGGGCTTGGACACCAGCTCCAATTGCCCCATGCTTGTGGCTGTGAAGATGCTGCGAGCAGATGCCAACAAGAACGCCAGGTATGGGGCTGGGGAGCATTGACCCCCATGTAGAGACCCCAGAAGTCAGGATACTTAGAAAGCAACCTTGGCCTCCAGCAGGTTGTTGGTGCACCTGCAAGGACTGGGGATGCTGGGCTGTAGCGATTCAGGGCTCTTGGTCCTTGCTGGACCCAACCAGCTCCCCAGTGCTCCATCTATCCATCAGGTCCACTCCACAGCTGTGTGCAGATCAGCCCTGAGCTTCCCTTTGTGGTCCTTGCTCCTAGGAGAGGGGACCTCTCAAAGCGTGCGTGGGTGGGTGGCAAGCTCGGCTGCTCTGTGTGCACCTCCATGTCCCTCTGGGTCTGTCTATCTGATTCGTGTGGTTTCTGTTCCGGAAAGGAATGATTTTCTGAAGGAAATCAAGATCATGTCACGGCTGAAGGACCCCAACATCATCCGACTGCTGGCAGTGTGCATCGCAGATGACCCGCTGTGCATGATCACCGAGTACATGGAGAACGGTGACCTCAACCAGTTCCTGTCCCGACAGCATGCCGGCAGCCTCCCCGCCGGCCATGCGCCCACTGTCAGGTAGCACCACCTGGAATGGGCAGGGGTGGGCATGGCTGCCTGCTCTAGGCACCCAGGCCAGCTGTGGAGCACCCTGCTTGGGACGGTGTACAGCCTTGGCTGCCTGCCTTCCTGCTCCTCAGTCTTCCCTTGTTGCCCCCGGCAGCTACAGAGACCTCCGGTTCATGGCCACGCAGATCGCCTCTGGCATGAAGTACCTCTCCTCCCTCAACTTCGTGCACCGAGACCTGGCCACGCGCAACTGCCTGGTGGGGAGGCAGTACACCATCAAGATAGCTGACTTTGGCATGAGCAGGAACCTCTACAGTGGGGACTACTACCGCATCCAGGGCCGGGCTGTGCTCCCCATCCGCTGGATGTCCTGGGAGAGCATCCTGCTGGTATGAGGGGGCTGGGGTCCTCTGATGGACACTGTCGTGGCCAGGGGCCTGCTCACGGCCTCTTTTCCTCAGGCTGGGAGGTGCAGAAGGGATGGGGAAGTCTCTCCTCTGGAGCCCAGCTTTGGGATGAAGCATTCAGAAAGTGGGAGTTGTAACAGTTTTCTGAAGCAAGACGAGGGGACTGTGGTGATCCTTGGTGTTCCAGTGCCCAGCCTTTGAGCAGAGTGCTTGACGTTTTGTCCTGGCTATCATCAGATCTGGAAGAGTGAGCAGATTTACTGATGATATTTGCAGGAGGCTGGGTCCTTACCAAGCCCCAGCTCTCAGAGCAGTTGCTGCAAACTGAACCCAGAGCTTGCCAGGCTCTGGCCCCAGGCAAAGAGCAGCTCTGTGGGACCAAGCCCTGTACTCTGGGCACAGATCTGGAAGCTGAAGCATTCATAAAGAGGTTTTGAACCCTGGGCACAGAGGGCTTATGGAGCAGGAGAGGGTAATGCTCATGCCCAACTCCACTCTTCTCTCTGGCCAGGGCAAGTTCACGACAGCCAGTGACGTGTGGGCGTTTGGCGTGACGCTGTGGGAGACCTTCACGCTCTGCCGGGAGCAGCCCTACTCCCAGCTCTCCGACGAGCAGGTCATCGAAAACACTGGCGAGTTTTTCCGGAACCAGGGCCGGCAGGTAGGGACAGGATGGGATGGGATGAGATGAGATGAGGCATGACAGGATGGGACGGGACATGACAGGACAGGCAGCATTACACCTGGGACACTGGGAACCTGGGGAAAGACTTCAAGGTGACCAGATGGGGAACTTGGCTATAGGGGAGCTATGGGAGAGCAACTCCTCTGGGAAGGAGCCCTGGTGAAGGGCCCAGCACAGCAAACCCTGCACTTTACACAGCCCAATGCACTGCTTGCCCGCTGACCCCTCTCCTGTGTTTAGTGGGGCTGGGGGACATGAGCAGGTACCATCTGGGGACCCCTTGCCTCTGCACACGCAGCAGTGCGGCCCCCCACCCCAGCGAATGGAGAAATGGGGCTCCTCACAAGTGGTTTGCATTTTGTTTTCCATGCCAGTAACTCTCTCCCTTTGTCATCTTTGCCTTTTGTTTTGAAGACCTACCTTCCCCAGCCTGCTCTCTGCCCTGACTCAGTCTATAAGCTAATGCTCAGCTGCTGGAGACGGGACACTAAAGAGCGACCCTCTTTCCAGGACATCCACCGCCTTCTCCAAGAGTCAGCCAGTGAAGAATGACCCTCTGTTCCCCCTAGCCCGGTCCCCAGCCCTCCCTGTCCCCAGAGGAGCCCCATAAGCAAGCTGAAGCCACTTCACTTGGACTTAGCAATCAAGCCCGGGCAGCTGGTCTTGTTCTCATTGTACAGTGAAGCCTCAGAGAAAACCCCAAGGACAGCAAGAGGAGCCACAGTGTGGGACGGCTTGAACCTCCCACTCCCTTGCTGACCCTAGCCCAGGAGCGACACGGTCTGAGACGAGGGTTATTTATTGATGCAGTGTGTTCTTGGTGACGACGACCAGGACAGAGCGGCTTCTCTCCTCTGGTTGGAGGGGAGGAACATCAGCCAGACTTTCTCTGTGAGGAAGCTCCTGACCCATGTGTGGGAGGCTCCCTGGGGAAGGGCTATGTGCACGTACATGCCTGCTGGAGCAGGGACCATTTGACAGCCACTACCTGCTCAAGGAGATGCTGGAAGTTGCCACTAGCTCACAGTGGGCTGTGCAATTACAGGTCAAAACCAAAACCTCTCTGGACATTTTGGGCTTCGGACATGCTGCATGGAGAGGCAGGAGGCCCCACCCCTAATGGCCAGCACCCAGTTACACAGGAAGAAGCCAAATGGCACTCCCGGCTCCTCGCCTGGCTGCTGGGGTGGGCAGTGTGCTCAGCTGCAGCTCCTCCATGCCAGCTGGGGCAGAGCGGGCATGCCAGCCCTGGCGAGGGGCACACGAGAGGACCTCCTCTCACTGACCACAGCCACTCCAGAGCTGTTCAGCTGCCCATGAAATGCAGTTCGGATGTCCTGTGGGTGCAGTGCAGTATCCAATGGTGGGATGTTAGCACCCTTCACCTCCAAGGGGGAATCTCCAGGTCCTCCTCTCCCAGGGTTAACCTGTATCTTCACCTGCCATGAGAGGAATGCACATAGCAGAGTTTTCAACAGCTGCTGCCTGATGCCCAAGCCTGCAGCAGCCCATGTGTATGGAGCTGTGGGCACCCTGCCCCTCCCTAGCTCTCATCCTAAGGATTGCAGCTTGGCTGGAGCATCTGGGCTGGACTTTGTTGCCCCAATCATCCCACAGCAATCTAGCACCAGTCCGTCCTTCTGGATCCAGCAGCTCTGTGAGCAAACTGGGTAGGTGCCAAAGAAGCGTGCCCCCCAGGAGACCTGCCAGGTTACCTCTCGTGCCCCAGAATTGGATCCTTCTGCAGCTGGACAGGAAGAACTTTGTACTAAGAGGGTATATGGACCCCTCCATACTTTTGTATGCATTAGTTCAGCACCATCAAGTCACGCGTGGCACAATTTCCAGTATGCAATTGCTAAGACATACATATATTCAGTAGATGCACCTATATATAGGGGCAAACCCGCTGAAGAGACACTTCCTGCATGAATCTGGTTGCGTGGTTTCCTTGCAGCACTTTTGAAGGTATCTCGCCTCATCTGTGGGCCCCCTGGGGAGCCTGGCCAGTACCAGAGCCTGCCAGGGGGCTCTGGGGCTACACCGCCTGCCCCAGGATGCTGTGTAGGGAGAGTTCGGGATAGGTGCACACAGGTAACAGGGTAGGAGATGGAGGAGGGATGCTGGAGAGACCTGTTGGTTCACCCACACCAGTTGCCCATCTCCTTGAGTGACGGGGAGGCTGCTCTGAGGCTCGGTATCCGTATCAGGAGCTGTCCACCGACAGGAACCAAAATGGCACAGCGGGCCGGGGAGAGGGGAGGGCAAGGACAGGGGCCCGCGCTCTGCGGGGCGGCCGGCTGGTCTCCCCGTGCGTGGTCCCGTTGGTCGCGGC